GTTTGCAAAAAAAAGTATACCAGCTTCTTTAGAGTACACTTACATTTCTCAATCATTTTTTTTCACTTATGGAAGGTAACTAACCATAGTGTTGTGGCCACTTCTCTAGGTTCCGATCCTCAACTTGGAGCTTCCTTTTCCTTACTCTGTCAAGTCTGTGTTTGAAAGTGGAAATTGGCCTTCCATTCTTTGGGTTTTGGGGTGGTGATGCACACTCCTCTTGTTGGAGTGAGTTGGGTTCTCCAAGAAATCGATGTTTTGTTGTCCAATCAAAGTAGCTGATTATTCGTGTCAGAAATAAGAACTCTCTTTTCTTGATCTGTACTTTTGACCAATATCAACTTCTGGTAAGCTCTAGTCTTAGTCCAGTCCATCCCTCATCCCACTCATGAGTTTTAGGGCCCAGAACCTTCAAACCCATGTAGTAGCATTCTGAACTATCAGCCTTTTTCTTCTCATCCACTACATGCTAACATGCTATTTTATTATTTAGCTAATACCACCAAGATTTCTGCTCACTGGTTACTGAAATCTACCCTTGAAGATTTTCTATTGGCTTGGTAGAACCACTCTGGAACTTTGTCTTATTAATATTGACCATATCATCTTCTACGCTCACTACCTTCTATAGGTGTAACTTAAAACAGGCACTCATTTGTCCATGACTGGTTCATTGCAGCCCTTGTGCTACCTTCACCATTGTTTTTTGGCCTTTTTGAACTACGCCACCCTCTTTCTAAGTGGATTCTGAGCCCTCGGTCTTCAAATTTCTTCTACTCAACTTAACCTAATTTGCAGCTTGTCAACGTTTTACTTTTGGCTTATCTCAAAGATTCGGTGAGTCAGAATAGTGGCCTATGTACCCATCGATGCCAAGCAACACAGCCTTCATTTTTATGAGCAAATAAGAAACCTCTAACAGTCTTTCAAGATCTAGATCCCCAAGAACCATTTTTCTGGTACCAATTTAATAAGAACCAATATATGTTATGCAAAGGAAAATATAAAGGTCGATAGCCTTTCTCCCAAAGTTTTACCTGAATATTTGCCTACTTCACTTCTCTCATCCCTTATTTATAAGTTATGACCGTTGGTGGTTAACAGTTCCCTCTAACAAACTCTATCTATCCCACATAACTGCCCACCTCTGTACTAATCAAACTCCAGTCCTATCAAATAATTAGCACTCCCTTTTGGAGAATTGCAAAAGATAACTTTTTGGGTTTAGATCTTTACATTATTAGTTAATTAAAACAATCAAATAAGCCATTTCTGAATCTGAACATGGAGTCTGTGGTTGCTCTACATGTTATTTTCTTTTTGTTGTCTTTTATTTGGTGAGAACTTTGAATTGAGCTTATTGGAATGTGAGCAGGTCATGGCTACAATTTGCGAGGAGCTCCTTCCAGATAGTATCATGCTGATTTATCTATCTGCAGCAGGTTAATGTCCTCTAGTCAACGATTCAAGTGAAAATGATCTGATTGCTTTATTTTCATTTTTACTATTGTCTATTGACAGTGGTGATTTAATGATACTTTGTGCAGGGAAATGCTGTCAAAACAGTGTTAATCAAATGGCAAGTCAAGGGGAATCAAGAAAATCCCTAAAAAATAAAGTAATCGCTCAGAACTCCCGAGAAAATTGTAATGCTTTGCCTGAATCCTGTAAGAGTGAGAAGGCAGGGTCAAGTGACCTTTATGACGAGTATTTGTGGTTTGGGCATAGAGGTAATGGAGGTACGGTCCTTCGATACTCTCTCACAATGGTCTTTTATTATTTATTTTTCTTCTATTTTTTAAATTTATTTTGATTAATCTCTCAATGTTCTTTGCTGTTGGAAAATGTGAATGTTCAATCATTCTAACTCTTTGTGGTTCCCAATTTCATTGATGACTTAAAAATCATTTTTGAAACGTTCAGGTCCAAACGTTCTATACCCTGGTGATATAATACCTTTTACACGTAGACCTGTTTTCTTGATAGTTGACAGTAACAACAGCCATGCATTCAAGGCAGGTTTGTCAAAACTTTTACAAGTGTTGCCAGGTCATAATGGTTTGTTTCACACAGCTATTGACAATTAAATCTCGTCTTGATAAGTGGATATTTCTCATTTTGTTCAGTATCATCATATCAGCTCTATAAATATGATTATTGAGGCTTTGAGCATGGGATGAGATAAATATGACCATCAAATGCATTAGATTGGTTTGTTTTCCTTTATAAAACGTTAGGTGTTTGAGGGAAAATATTGCAGGCAACTTTCATGTTGCATTTTCAGTATGAATCTTCTCATTTACACAAAAAAAAGCTAGTTCACCATTATCTTTCTGACAGTTTCTTCTTGATGAAATTCTGTTTCTTATATAAACAAAAAGGTTTCCTGTTGATGGACCTGTCTGGTTTAGAGTGAATTTAATGTAGTCTAAAAGATAAAACTACCAATTATCAAATATATATATATATATATATATAAATGTATATAAAATCTAAGAAGATACAATCTTCAAGAAGAAATCACTTCAATTTGGCAATTTTCTACGATGCCTTTTGCCTATGTAATGAAATTTTATTTGACCAACCATAAAGCTGGCTGGACTATCATAGAATTCACCCCATTAAATGTTCTTACCTACAAAGTACGATACTCGGTCATTACTCTCAAGTCAATCTGACTCTCACATGAACATGATATTTTATTTTCAGGTTCTACACGGTGCAGAGAGAGGAGAGACTGCCGCTATACTTCTTTCACCTCTGAGGCCTGTATTCAAGAATCCCTTAGATGTTGATACCGTTCGATCAGGAAGTCAGTTTACTTTTTTCTTGACTGCCCCTCTGCCTGCATTTTGCGAAATGGTTGGCCTGTCCCCAGCCAATTTGGATCTAGTAAGTCCATTATAAGAGTCGAGACTTTCTTGTTTTTCTTGAATTATGTTCCGGACTTTCGCCTGATTTAACTTGTTTCTACTTGTAGGATGTTTACAATGATGCTGAGACCATAATCTCCTCCGCATTTTCCGAGTGGGAAATAATTCTTTGTACATCAACTAGCTTAAATCTCGTTTGGGCCCAAGTTTTGTCTGATCATTTTTTACGCCGTCTCATTCTTAGGTATTTCTCATTCAAGTTGCTTATGTTATTTAACATGTAAGATTAATATCATACGTACTCGAACATCGCTTTGATAAAAGCCTGAGTCATGTGGAATGCTCTAACCATGGAAATGTAGTAACTTCCCTTTGTTCCATAATCTGCAGATTTGTATTCTGCCGATCCGTACTATCTTTCTTCAGTACTACAGAAGATTTCAACCTTCCTGTTTGCCTGCCTTGTCTTCCCAACTCCATTGCTTCGAATTCTGGAGTTGTCAGCTCAGTAGTCCGCCGTATCGCAAAGCACCTTAACGTTGCTGACTTGTTTAACTTCCACGAAGGATAGTAAACAATCTAGATACTGTCAAAACCCGAATTCGAGTTCAACCGCTGCCTTCAAACTCAGTTCAAAATCAAAACAATATATCGCCATTGGCCGCTTGAAGTTTAGTTACAGTAGGACAGATTGGTGTTTGTTCTGAAGAAAAAATTATGAAACACAAGTAGTGTTGTGGTGGTTGCCTTCCTTTTAATGCTTATGTGCAGCCTACTAGTTTCCTTAAGTTTCAAGGTGGGTTTACTGTTTAGTTAGATAAGAGTGTGAAAATTTATTGTAGGTTTCTTTCTGATCCTTGAAGATTCATTTTAGTTCCTATTTTCTTTCCCCTTTTTCATTTCTCTGTAAAGAAGAAAAAAGAATTGAAGCAGAGAAATTGAACTCCCAAGCCCCCCTTCCCCTCCCCTCCCAACCTGGTAAAGTCCACATCTTTCAAGTTATTTGTAGATGTGGCAAATCGGGAATGTATAATCGCTCTCCAGGACCCTTACACAAAAGTGACAAACCGCGAGAAGTTTGACTTCGTCTTTGTAACTTAAAGTTTGTTCGATATTGGAATATTTGAAGTTCATGAAGTTGTTCCAGTCGTCCAAGATTAGATCATACGATGTGGTTTACCAAAAAAGGTTCAAATCTTCGAGTGCCTATGAAGTTTTTTCTTTGTTTCGAGGGACAAAAAGTGGGTTTGAGTTTTATTTTTGTGCATGTATCTTTTAATTTTTTGGTTTATTTTAGTCTCACACTACAATCAAAACATCTATTTTGTTAGTTATACTTTGAATTTATTTTAGTTCTTGTACTTTTGGAAAATATATTTTGGTCTAGTACTAAATTATATTAAGAGTTTGCAAATAAGAACTAAATTTAGTATAGGGAATATGAAATTACATGAACTATGAACTAAGGTTGAAACTTGGAAGTAATTCAACTTAGAAGTAAATGAATATTTTAAATGCACAATCATCAAAATAGACCAAAATAAAAGTAAAAAGGAGAGGTAGACCAAAATAGTTTTATAAATCTATATCCACATGGTTTACAATTTTGCAAATCATCCGATAGTACACGCAACAAAAATCATTGTTAATTTTTTATCAATCATTTAATATAAAATCAAATAATTTCAAAATATAACATTTATCTTACTTAACGGCGACGCATGTCAAATTTCTAGTTAATATTTATACAAATTAATGTCAATGCCTATCATACAAAAGTTCGAATTTTAAAACTAAATAATTAAAAAGATTAGGAACCAAAAATGACATAAGCATTCTGAATATGATTTACACTGTACTTAAAATGATTGGAAAATGGAAAATATTGTAATTTCAGTCACCGGATGAATCCTACGTGGCGTGACTTGATTGGTCTCTCTCTCTCTCCCTCTATCCCAAAATTTTTTTTTTCGAAAAACAAAAAATAATAAACCAATGCCAAACTTTAAGTTGACAAGTTCAAAATCAAAAGAAAGTGGGTAAAAGCCTCAACAACCAACTCACGTTTCACGGTTTTATTCTTTAATCCCTAAAAAAATTGCAATTTTAGAAAATACATAATGTCACAGATTTATCGCAATTCCAACCAATAGGAAACCAGTATTGTACCCTCACGATCCTCGTCTTACCCTCCAAGATCACATCCTGGCCGTTCACGCTGCTCGAGAAAACACAACTCACCCCCTCATTTACCGTTAGATTCGTACACCGAAAAACACATGGATATGCTTTCTTAACCGTCCGATCCTCAGATTATCCCTTCTTATAAGACGCTATAAATAAGCCCTAACTGCTCTTATTGTTAAACTTTTGGCTTCTTTGACAGAGAAGGATTTGCCCGGCAGAAGAAGAGGAGAAGCGCGAAGCGTCACGAGGTGTTTCTTAATTATGTTTTTTAATTACTCCGAATGGTGATTTGGGTTTAATTCCTTTGGTTGGTGTGTTTGTTCCATGATCTTTCTGTTTTCGTCTAAGATTCGTCTCCTTCTTCGGTGTTCTCCGCTTTCAATTGTGTTCCTAGATGTAGGGTTTGAGTTTTTAATAATTTTCCAGTTTCCGAAGGTTTTAGGGTTCCAATAGGTTCTCAACTCTCCCCCCGGGATCGATCTCTTTAGGGTTTTCGTGTTTTCTGTTCATAAATTTGTGGGTACACTGCCGGGAAATCTTTTAGAGAAGTACATCGAAATCTGGGTGTTAGGAACTGGAATTGGCTGTATATTAGATTTGTAGAATTAGCTTATAGGCGTTTTATCATTTTCTGCAATTTCATGGTGGCGCTCAAATTTGTAGAGAATAGATTGGAGTTGGAGAAGGTCTGTAGTAATTAATTCGGAATTGGGGTTTGTTTTCTTGCAGATGGCCCGTACCAAGCAAACTGCTCGTAAGTCTACTGGAGGGAAGGCTCCCAGGAAGCAACTGGCCACCAAGGTTTGCTCAATTTCCTTGTGCAATAACTTTAATGAATTTGATTGAGTTTGATTAATTGAATTAACTTTGCTGTTAATTTATGTTGTTGGTATTCTAGGCCGCCCGTAAGTCAGCCCCAACTACAGGAGGGGTGAAGAAGCCTCACAGATACCGCCCTGGTACTGTTGCTCTTCGGTGAGTTCGCATGGTCTTTTTCTTCTTGCCTTACCACCCTTGGAGGTGTGCTTATACTCCGTTGGATGCAGCAAACAAGTGATTCACTTCTTTCTTCCTTGTGAATTCGTGCAGTGAAATCCGTAAGTACCAGAAGAGTACTGAGCTCTTGATTAGGAAGTTGCCATTCCAGAGGTTGGTTCGTGAAATTGCCCAGGACTTCAAGGTATGTCCTTTATCTTCTGCTCGATGATCTGATTTAAGCTTTGTGCTCTGCTGGGTTCAATGTAGCATTAAGGTTTTTGCGTTAATTTTTTTGTGCAGACTGATCTGCGTTTCCAGAGCCACGCTGTTCTGGCTCTGCAAGAGGCAGCTGAGGCATACCTTGTTGGGTTGTTCGAGGACACCAATCTGTGCGCCATCCACGCCAAGCGTGTTACCATAATGCCTAAAGATATCCAGTTGGCTAGGAGAATCAGGGGTGAACGTGCTTAGAAGATGGCGCATTGTTTGGATGAGGGTGGTAATTGGCTGCAACATGGAGTGATCAAAGACCTAATTGATGATGGATGGATGGTTCTTATTTTTGTTTTTAGCAACGTTGGTAGATATAGCTATACTAGAAACCTGTAGTGAATATGGTAAAAGGCATAATGCTTTGCTTGTGCATGTTAATGATGTTTAGTTGTGGATGATTTTGTTTTGTTCTCTTTAAAAGGATGGAGGAGCTTAAATCTGTATTTCATTGAATTGTGTTTTTGGGGTATGCAGCCAGACTAATATTGTTGGATAACCTACCACATCTAATCTTTAGTTCAGATTTGTAAGTTCTGTTATTCATGAATTACTTGAATCTGTTCTTTGCATGAATTACTTGAATCTGTTCTTTGCATGAATTATTTGAATCTGTCCTGTTAAATCTTTGTCCAAGTTATTGTCAGGAAGGGTTGGATTTGAAATTTGAATCATTCACCCAATTAATTGTAACAATAATGAGTTGTATTTGTTGTAACCTTTTGGTTTGAACTCTGGCAAAGTTCGATGATTTATCTCGTCAAACTACTGAAGTGGTATATGTTTTTTTATTTTCAAAACTGATGAATTAGTGTGTTCTAAATTTCAACTTGTTCGGTTTATACCATTTTTATTTGGAAAATTCTCATCGTGAAACAGAAAAAGGGGTCCCCTTGTAGTTAAATTTTCTCAAGAATAAGTTTAGCTCTGTTAATTTATTTAACCAGAATGGGTCTTGATTCTCTGCAAAGGTGCTCTAGTTCTTCTGGAGTTGTGCTCTAATTCTTCAGGAGCTGTTAGATTCTTATTCTATTTGCAAGTTGAATATCTTCACGGTACATACTCTTGTCCCGTTAGTCCTCCAACTCCTTGTCACTGTAACCTTAGTTCCTCTTTCAATTGACGCTTTGTTGGGGCTTTGGCTATTCAAATTTGAGTCTATTTGATGATTAGTTCTTTGGTAATTAGGCTCAACAACTGATCTTTCACATCTTGTGGCCTGCTTATGTTTGAAGCATGAAAAGAAGATACCCACGATCTCTCGCTATGAGACGCCTATCATCAGTTGGTGTTATGTCTTTGGATTGCTTCCAAATCTTCCTACGTACAATTCTGTTTATGTTGCTAGCTTATCGAATCCTGATTCTTAGGGACCATTAACAATTCTCTTACACTCTGTGCAGGATCTCTCAACAACTTTTATTTGCATCGGTGTAAATTGATAGGTTTATTTGTTTTAAATTATGTAGTCCTTTCCTATTCCTCAACATTACATGATGTTTCAAAAAGAGTCTGCTTGACCCAAGATTGTTGTCAATGGTGAATAAGGAATTTTATGTATATATGATTTTAATAATTAAATGATAAACATACATCTAATCATACAAATGTTACTTCATAATAAAATAATAAGAGTCAAGCTCACCAACATAATCTTCTAGGCCAACCTAAGCATAGTTGATTAAGGTATCTATTTCTAATTTGTACTTGCAACAAACTACACTTCATTGCAAAAAAAAAAAAAAAAATGTTTGGTCATGGTTTGGCATCTTTGAACGAAGAAAACTTCTAATTTGTAGCCGGGAAAAAGGTAGATTTTGCTTCTATTTGAATAAATAGAAATCGTTTTCTCCCAACTTGTTATCATACTATTCTCGCCGTCCAACTTGAATTCTTTTAATTTCTTTTTAATGAAATACTAAATGGTAAAACGTAAATTTAAAATTATACGATATACTAGTTTGGGTCTATTTCTTCCTAACAAGTCATTTATAAATAGACATGTCTATTTCATTCAATTAGAACAAGAACATATTGTATGTACTCAAAAGAAGGGAGGGAGAATATAAGAATATAGGATACTTCAAACTAAATTAATAAAATGTATCTTAACGTTGGATTACCAACATTATCTCTTTTCGTCAATGAATTTTTACATCTAATGACCCTAATGAACGGATTGAAAAAAATTCAATATATACTCGATTAAGTTAAAACTTTTTTTCTTTGAAGCTTTATGAAATTGAGACTTGTAAAATACCAAGAAAGTGAAAATAACACATACATATTATTATATATTCAACCTATATTAACAGTGTAACGAGATCAAATTAAAACTTGGACTCAAATCCCAATACATTCAAGCCAACTAAGCCTTACCTATACCGCACATTAAACGTTAGCTCATCATCTCTCTACTGTGTCTAAACCAAACATGTAAGTTAGGAAAATTGCTAGCATCTAATCACATTAGAAGACTTGAATTAACAACTTAACGACCTAAGAGATTATAGTAAAAAGAAAAAAAATTAAAAGTTGAAATATGCTCGCTTTGACAAAAATGATACCTTGTGTTTATATTATTTGCAGTTACGAATATATATATAATATGTTTTAATAGATGATTGAAATATCATATTAAGTTACGATAAGAAGAAGTGAGATAAAAATGAAAATAATAAGTTCAAAATAGTCCCATTTTAATAATAACAGGAATAAAAATAGACATTTCGAACCAACGTAAGGTTAAACTTTAGAACCAACATAGTATTTAAATATATATATTACTCCAGAATCCAATTAAAAAAACAAAGATTGAAAATTAGTTCGTGGGCAGTTATTTTTACCTTTGAACCAGCTCGCTCAGCCGGTTGCTTCAAGCCAAATTGGGCGGTTCTCTTCTATTGTTGAAAATGAATTTTTTGGCCCCTTTCTTTTTAACGGTTCAATGGTGCAAATCATATATTAATATTTTTTCATTAAATTACATTATTTGTATTTTATTTAGTCTCTAACTTTACAACATAAAAAAAATAAAAATTCTTAAAATTGTTTATCTCTCTCTTCAAAAACCATATATTACTATTTCGAAGAAGTCACGAACAATCAATTTTTTTCAATAAATTTCAATGATTTTTATACTAATGAACCTAATTGAAAATTTTTAATATTTAGAGTTTTAAAATGTTAAAGAATCAAATTGAGAATATAAAAACTATTTTCCTTGGAGTACCTTTAACCTTCTTCTTATTACATTATTATTATATTTATGCAGACTAAAAATGAAACAAAAACATTAAAAAAGTATTAAAAGCAATACCACAATTAAAATAAGCCAATTGGCATCGTCAAAAATCCAATGTCTAATTAACTTCTCTCAAAGATTGAAGCCCTCTGGTTGGTTTACTGGAACGCCCGCCAACTTCGGAAATTCCTCCATTTCCAAACCTCTCTCTCTACAATTTTCATATCCTAAATCCATCTTCTTCTCCCAATTTTTACTGATTTTCCAAACACAGACACAGATAATATCAATCCCCATTTTCTCTCTCGCTTTTCTTAATGGAATTGCGTGTTCTTTCAACAACTCCGATTCTGTAAGTTTCCCTTTCCCTTCCCATTTCTTCAACAATCCTCTCTTTTTGACCCTTGAATTTTCCTGTTCTTCATTTTGATTCTTCGTTTCTTTTAATTGAAAACAACAGATTTCTGATTCCCACCACAATCGATGGTTTCTGAGATGCCGCAGCTGATGGAGAAGACGGAGGAGAAGAAATCCCATGTCCCGGAGGAGGAGGAAGAAGAAAAAGATGACTCTTCGGAGCTTCAAGAGCTCCAAGAGATGAAGAAAATGGCGGACGAGGCTGACGGAGAACTCAGTTCCGAGTTGGACTCCGATAAGGAAAGTCCCAAAGAAAGAGAAACCGCCGTGGAAAGCAACAAGGAATTGGAGGTTCAATTGGCAGAGAAGAGCTCCAATTTGGCAAAGCTAACAGAGGAGCTCTCTGCTTTGAAACGCTCTGAATCACAATCCCATACAAGATTGGAAGAACTGGAAAAAAAGTACCAAATCTCCAAAGAATCAGAAGAGAAGACAAGGGATTTATTAGCAGCACAGACAAAGCAGCTCGAACAGACAAAAATTTCCCTCGAAGAATCAAAGCTGGAAATCCAATCTCTCAAAAAGCAATTGGAGAAGGGTTCTTCCAACAGCCGTTACCACCATCGCAGCCCATCAGACAACATTTCAACGAAACAGGAACTCGCCGACAGCCTAAAATACGAGCTCGAAGCCACAAAACACAAACTGGGTCTGCTAAAAAACGAGCTCAAATTAGCCACAGAAGCAGAGGAGAACAACAAAAAAGCCATGGACGATCTGGCAATGGTATTAAAAGAAGTAGCAACAGAAGCCAACCATTTGAAAGGCAAATACGCCACAACCGAAGAGGAACTAAAGCAAGCAAAACAAGAGGCAGAGAATTTGAAAACGACATTAAAAAACACAGAAGAGAAGTACAAATCTCTGCTACACGAGGCAAGAAGAGAGGCCGATTTGTACAAAAGCACAGTGGAGAGGCTGAGATTGGAAGCAGAGGAGTCGCTATTGGCGTGGAGCGGCAGAGAGACGAGTCTAGTGGATTGCATAAGAAGCGTCGAAGACGACAGATTCACAGCCCAGCAAGAGAATCGCCGCCTCATGGACGTCCTGAGACTAGCAGAGCTCAAGAACATGACATCAAAAGAAGAGATCAAGAAACTGAGGGATATTCTAAAGCAAGCCCTAAACGAAGCCACCGTGGCCAAGGAAGCCGCGGGAATCGCCATCGAAGAGAATTCCCAATTGAAAGACTGCTTGTCGGAGAAGGAAAACGCATTGGATTTCGTAAGCAGCGAGAACGAAACCCTAAAAGTCAGCCAAGCGACGGCGCAAGAAGAAATCAAAGAGCTGAAGCGGCAGCTGGAAGAGGCCAGTAAGAAAGAAGAGAAGAACAGCAAAGAAGAAAGCAAAAAGCAAGAGGAAAGCAAGGAACAGGGGGAGAATACCAAATGGAAGCCGCCGATGAGTCCGAGCCCGAGCCCGGGTCCGAAT